AGCTGAGCTGCTTCCATCGCACTGGTTCAACATGGACGGCTATCGTAGGAAAGGGAACCTTTCGGCAGTATCAGACCAGCATCGTCGGTGCTGTAAAAGACTGCTGGCTTAGCACCCTCAAAAAGCTTCCAGAAGGAAGGCAAAAACTGCAAAAAGGACTTCCATGGGGCGAAGACCCATCTGATTGCAGAACAAGGGTACTTTTGCTCCTCACCTGGTGCGCAAGGCCTGCCACATCCTCCGGCATTGAATCATTGAAAGCGGGCAGAGGATGTTGACGACCCGCCTCTTGCAAACTATGGCAATGGCCTCGTCAGGCATTTCAGCATTTCCAACCGGGCTAGACAAGGTTGGACCTTGTAGGCTGAGCTTCACGCAACCCTAGCTGGGTTGAGTTGAGGCAGCAAATGTCTAAAGTGTCTACTCGGATTCACACCATTGCTGCCGAGCTTCTCTGTTCAACGTGGCTTGCACTCATCTGCATCGCCTGTCTTCTCGTGCTTCGGCTGGGCGTCAGCACTTGCAATTGGAGGACCTTGCTGCGAGAGTTCGTTCTATAGCTCAATGTGCTGCAAACATTTGCAAGCCGCATGTCCGCGTCTGGCAACCTCGGCAATCTTCAAACCCACGTGCAGTCAGTTGACGTTCTGTTCGAACGACGTGCGTCAGCGGCGCAGCGTCCTTGCCCGGGCAGCCCAACGAAGATGGGTGATCTACTTGTAGCATATGCTCGAGACACGATCCGAGAATGGCGATGCCCAGTTTGGAAAGCAATCCAGAAACACACATACTAATTCAATGATTTTGGGCTTCAGCACGTGCCCGTTTGGGTATCTGCGTGTATGCATGTACAAATATGTACAAGCAGAGCAAGTCATCCCAATTTCTAGCCATCTTGTTCTACTGTCTCTGATTTTGCTATCACATTAACATCGATCTATGGCATTCATTGGTTTTCAGTTTCAAGACATGTGCACGACGACGCAGAGAACCTTTTCTGGGACAACAGGCGTGGAACGCAACGCGAATCGCGGCTTGAGCTTGTCACAGTTGCCGAGCCCTGCAGCAAAGTGGACACGACAAGAGTCCTCACTTTCTTCATCGGAGTCCTTAGACAATAAGAAAAATGAGTCATGTGCATAAGGACATGGGCAGGAATCAGCCTTGAAATGATTAGAACTGCAGAATACACACTCATTGCTGCAAAGCTGCCACCCACACACTTGGAGCTAATCCGGCGACGCGGCGAGCGTAGAAAGACTTGGCTGCTGTAACCCGTGGTGGATCTCTACATATCTCTACGCTATCGTCTTCTGTCGCTGGATATCCTGGATGTCACCCGCCCAGCCTTCCCCCCGACAGAGCAAGGAGGACCTACGTCCGTGTCGTGTTCTATAAGTCCGAAAAAGGTGAAAAAACATCTGGGAGATTCTGCAGCCATATGCCGCCATGCGACTGACAAAGCCGTTTTTCCGTACATCTCCTCGGCAACACAGGAGTTTCAATAAACGGGAAGGTGCTTTCATTGGAGAGGCCCCGTCATCAGCAAAAAAGTGGCCATGTCGCCTGCTCATGGGTCTAAATATAGAGGCCTTAATCATTAGAATAGGGTTCCTTTAAAGGGTTCCTTAAAAAGGGTCGATAATTCCAGCCCAGCAACTGCCCTTCTATCGATTTGGCTCGGGGTGCGAAGAGGAGCCTTGAACAAGAACAGACAGGCACAAGCTCAACATCCATGAAACACATGGTCGTGGCGTGCAGATTTGAAAGCATTTGGGGGTTTTCAAAAATAGGGGACCCTAATATAGTCCCCTAAATAGTAGGATCCTTATTATAAGGACCCCAAAATGAGGTACCCTAATTTTTGGAAACTCCCATTTCAGCGTTTAGCCGCACAGTGGCTGACATGATCTCTGTCACTAGCCTCGCGCATTCGTCCATACTTGCAGGACGCTACTGGCAATCAGGTCCGTCAGCACATCATTCGACGCCATGTGCAGTTCAACCGCAGTGGTCTGCTATGGACTCCCCGCATACGTTCCCATACCACCAATCTCAGCACGAGCATGACTGCGTCGCAGGTTCCCAGGATTCGGACCAGGATGCTGAACAATCGTTTCCGATCAGACACCCCGCCAAAACAGCGAAAGCCGAACATCCCGCCACCCCAATCAGCAAAAGATGGCACCACCATGTACAGATAGCTGAAATTGGTCGACGCCAGGCAGGCTCTCTCACTCATCTCATCGGTATGACATGGTCTAAACTTCTACCACCCTATGGCATGCCGGCGACCCTTCCACCGAAAGACGTGAACCGGAGAGCCAAGTTATCGAGCAGCAGGACAGGTTTGGGCGGCATGGATGCAGAGTGAACCCAACAAAAACACTTGGCCGTCAGCGCAAGCATAAACTTGAGCATGACCAAGCCTGGGCTTCCACAGGCGAGCTCGATGCGAAGCGTGTCTGATCATCGGCATCTGCGCCATCAGCATGGTGGAAGGAACCTTGAAATGCTGGCAGTTGGCAAAGTGGATGTGGCAGAGTGTGAAACAAAGCAAGTCCGGTGAATGGACTTTAGAACTCTAGAATCTAGACGATCTTCTGCTCACGACCGATCACAAGCTAAAGACAGATTCACGCTTCTCATGCAGAGTTGTGACATGTGCAGATGCATAAGCCAATGTAGTTCGGAAGCACTGATTCGCTAAACTTCGGCTGCCTGTTGCAGCCCAGGGACGGTCCCGACCAGGATGGCACCTTCGGCCCAAGGTGATGACACTGCATACCCACATGCTTCAGCAGTAAGTGGAGATAACTCCTGCTTCGGGGAGACTTAGGCAGCCCACTTCAAGTTCCGAAATCAAAAAGCTGTCACTTGACACCAAGCGTCGCTTGTACGGATTGGCATGCTGTACCAGATGCAGCCCGCTCGTCTTGAGAGCACGATGTGGCGGCAAGCGACATCGCCTTGGGCCCATGATTCTGTGAGGTTCGTACCAGGTCAGAGCACGACATCCTCTCGCAAGGCCTACCGGCCTGCCGTTCTGTTTGCAAGCTCGACTCAAAACACTCCTGCCCTGCTCCGAGGATTAAGCCCCGAGCACGGAAGGAGCAAGACGGATCCAAGAGTCGTGAAGCTCGCTTCCCTAAATAAACTGAGCTGGCACGTTGCGGTTTTGAAAATGCATCAAGCTTCTCAACCAGATCTGCTGACCGAACAAACAGCTCTAGGAGTGCTTCAATCAACCGTGCAACGTGATGGAACATTACAGAGCTCAAGGCATATTCTAAAGGTGACAGCAATGGCATCCAAGCAAGATATTGCCAGCCATGCTCATCAACGCAACCGTACCAGTTACAGCGGTAGCAGCAGTCACCATCATCAACCTTCACCAACCAGAAACATCATGTTCGATGACAGTTCGCTACAAACGTTCTGGAGGAGACGCTCTACAAGCAGGTCGTTACAGCGAGCACCTGCAAAGAATCTTCAGCGAACTGCCCTCCAACAACGAGGGCTGATGTGTGTTGATGATGCTGAGCTAGCGGTCGCGATCATTACCGTGGCTGGCAATGGCTCATTGGTGTCGTTATCCTTTTCCTGCACCGAAAGACACGATATGTTCGCGCCTACTGTCAGATACACAAGCCGCTCCCTCTCAGGTCGGCGGAAGATGTCCTGTCAAGCAAATGGCGGTTATGCAGGTCATCCAAGAACCATGAGGAGCTTGTTAGTCATTTCTGAAACCCAATATCTACGCAAGGTTCACCCGCAACCTAGTGATCGGCGACTTGCTTGTCGATGGTGGCTCCAACGTGATCGAACACCAGATTCAGCGTGATTACACACGTCTCGCACGCAAGGCCACGAGGGCACATTCACCAGACGATGCATTCTCAACTCAACTGTCACTCCTGTCCGTGCTGATGGCTCCAGGGGTTCTTACCTTCAAGGGCGGAAGACACTGCTGGCTTTCTTTCCGCATTCTGCCAAACAGCAATGCGACTGCCCAGGGCCCGACTTCGCTGCTTCTGCTGTCAGTTCCTGCAGCAGCGACTCCATCGCCTGTTGATCGAAGGCTTCACAGGCTTCACTCACGTACAGACCCGGACAGACCCTAGACAGCAGAAACCTAAACCCTTGCCTTTGAAGGCGATCTAAATACTTTTCAGGCCTCACGCGGCAGATCCGTTGCCAAGGCTGCCTCGAGCAGGTGCCATCTCAAAGGACCCTGAAACAGGTGCTGGGCAGGCGCCTGCACAGTGGAAGTGCGATGACTGGCCTCGAAGCCACTCAACTTCACCTGGACACGGACGACCAGAATCTGAAGACTCACGTGGCCCGCAAGTTTCAGGACGCGAAGGGACCGTTGGAAAACGCCCCATTAGAATCGTTCACTAAGCACCAAGGGCTGCCGACGCATGTTGCAGAAGCGACGGCTCTTGCCACAACACCGGAACTCTAAAGCCAAGTGGGGTTTCAATGTATCTGCAGCGACTCACTGCAACTAGTTACTCGCATAGTTTTGTGCAGTAGTGGCAGCTGTGCATGAGATTCAACATTCGTTGAGACAGGGTCTATGAAGTTCATGAGTGTAAATATGAGCCACAAAATGTTGTGTGATTCTGTGGAAACATTCGTGTTTGGACACAGTTAATTGGTGGGCAGACGGTATCCATATTTGTCCCAGCCATTCCTGATGCTCCCCCACCACAAAACTTGGCCTGTGGAGAAAGCGTCTTCGAGGCCTTAGCTGCCAAGTGGGTCGCAGGATGTCGCGGGGGCAGCAGGCCAAGTGGATGCTCAGAATAGGCCGTGACTGACCGTCGCGATCCTTGCGCTCTCTTTTGCGTCTTATGCCACGGATGGCACGAGTCGGAAAGTCGGAAAGTGCAGCTAATGATAATCATAGTGGATAGCAACTGCGAGTGGACCTTTTCTTTTGTCAGCGGGCCATGGTCGTCAAGCTGCGACCGGCTTCATTCATCTACTGCTCTCTACAAGCAGGCAATCAAAGCCAGCATCGGCATCAGCAAGCCGGTCAGCATGCGCCCTGCGCTGCTTCGATGTCCCCAACCAGCGCTGGTCACAGGAAATACAATGAGATCCTGCGGGTAATCAATGCCTGGGACAGGACAGGAGACAGCGCGGATGCACCACATCATGGTTGGACGGTGAGGCAAAACTGTTGTTGTAAAGCCTAGATGCCGGAGCTGTTGGTCATCTTTTCTGTCACCCCAGTACGGAGCACAATGTAGCCTGAGCGACAAAACCAATTTTGAGGGTTGCCCGCTGCCATGAACAGGCCCGGCATGCCAGGCGATAAATCAGAAGACAGCTCATAATCTCAAGGCGTCCCCTTGCCCCTTGCTGCAAGCACGTCCGCACAAGCATCGGCACGCGTCTGTGCAAGCTTAGTGGCTTTCGCCTTTGACCGCAGTGAAAGGAGCACGGATCTTCGAGTCTGCACTTCCGTCGCTGAGGATGACCTCGAGGGTGCCAAGGTCTCGGCACTACTCTAGCACGACATGTCTCGTGTGCACGAGGAGCCCCCGAGCCTGGTATGTGCCATCCGGAATGCCGAAAGCCGTACCGAAAGGGAGGACCGTGCCTTCCCACTGTCCTTCAGGGACAAACGATCAGTCCTGCCGTCCTGCCGTCGACCAGCCCTGGCCCAACTGCAGGCCTTGTGCTTCTATCGAAAGGCTTTCCTTGAATTGCAAGGCTCCCGCCTGTCGAGTTGGCCAAAAGTAGTGCGGCCTTCGCCTCACCTGTGTAGGTGTCGAGGACAGCCACTTGCGCATTCCTGCAGACAGAAAGACAGACATACAAACACACAAACATGCAGATAGGCAAGCACTTGCTTTCCGCACGCCTGGCCTCCGCATGTTTGCCTGTCTCTATGTGGAGTTTGTATATGTCCATGTGCATATACATAAATAAATGATTATATATAAATATAAATATATATATATATATATTTATATATATATATATTAGTTTATGTATTTATGTATATGTATATGTATGTGGCAGTATATGTATGTTTTTGTTCCCTCCCGCCTGGCTAGGACGAACCTACGATGCAGGGTCTATCGTGGCAACTCGAAAAACAGAATACAAAGCTCTCCGAATGTAAGTATGATATGTCTGTCTGTCCTATCTGTGTGTCGATTTCTGTCTGTCTCTGTAGGTCCATCTCTCGCTGTCTGTATGCATGTCGTGAGTGAACGTATGTGCGTACGTACGTGCTTGTGCGTGTGCGCGCTCTTCGTCTTAACGAGAAGTACAGGGCGACATGTGCATGCAAGCAGCATCCCGGGGCAGCCTGGGGATGATGGAATGGCTACAAGAATCGTTTCTGAATCTCTGGGTAAGGGTTTATAAACACAGCCTACCCAAACCACCATGGCAACGGCAGCAGTCAGTCGGGGTCTTTGCAGTGGAGAACATGTGGGACTGGAAGGAAACCGCATCCGTTGTGGAGCCACGACGATGGACCTTGGAAGGCACTCAACAGAGCAAAACCCTGTGACACTGTGGAAGGGGCCAGCCATGAGAGGCTAGAGCAAAACAAAAGGTGATAACATGTCGAAGTCTTCTTGTTTGGGAATTGTCACAATCTGCCAAGTGTCCGCGACGTACATGACTGCATTGTACCTGGTCTGTGACGTTGGTGGTCTGCTGTGGCAGACAGCAGTAGCTTCGCCAACGGATACAACGGACATGCTGTGACAGTTGCATCCAACTCAACCTACAAGTCGCTTCGGCAGGGAGTCCACTGTGAAGGTGGCCACAGGCAGCGAGTCCTCACAGATTTACTCCATCTGGCCCTCTCACTGACCAGATCCAGTACCTACTCGGAGACTCTCCCGAGGCCCAAGGAGAATCTACCCAGAGGCCCCATAGTAGTTCCTTTTTGGGGCTCATCTTTAGAATCCTATAAGGTAATCCCATAAAGGAACTACTATGGGGACTATGGGTAGCTGCCCATCCCCAGCCCCGCAGGCCCGCGGTCCGCACGGAAGTCCAGGCGATCTCCGGGCATCAGCGGCTTCGTCAAGTTCAGTTGCTGGCACTCCTTCCATGAGTATGCATGACATCCCGAGCGTCTCAACTTCCCTTTTCTCCGAACTTGCGCATGTCGCGCAAACGGTGGTGGAACCTCGCTGTCCGGCTGCATGCGCAGGCAGTCACGAGCATGATGCATCGCAGAATCTGTCGAGCGGTGCAGTTTGTGAGCATTCTGAACGGTCTCATGGAAACAGCCCAGTCAGTTTAAACAGTATCATCAGGGTGATGAGGAAATTACCGTTTCCATTTCCAGGTGTCCTCATCATGCGGTACCCTATCTGTGGTCCTTCTTAACACCACTCTTTCCCGAACTCCAACCTCTCCTTGTACCCCATCGGAGCACCCGTCATGATACTGACGCCGCCCATCTCCACCTGAAACCGTTCGGTGCCAGGGTACGCATTGCACACCTTGGTCAAACAGTTCAGGCTTTAAGTGCTGTGAAAGGATATGCATTGATTAGCTGGATACACACATGGGTAATTCTCTACATTAGGGTCCCTTTTGGGGTCCTTTTTATAAAGGTGCCGTACTATATTGGGGACCTAAAAAGGGACCCTAATTTAGAGACCTACCCACATAACTTAACGACTATAGCTATTGCAGTCGCAGCCTGGCCGGCCGCATGTCTGAAAACGTGACAAAGATAGAGACTGCAGCCGGAGCAGGAGCAGTTGATCCAAAGGACTTGCTAAGCATGCGCATCAACCTGGCCGACGAAATGGCTCTGACTGCATCACGAGCAACAACCGAAACAGCATTAAGCTTGACATCAGCAGTACCAGCAAGCATGAGCCTTCTGCTGCAGACTCACTGATGGTCGTCTAACTGCTTCTAGCCATGAGTGTCTCATGTGCAAGCCAGATGGTCCCAAGTAGCAATTTTCGCAAGAACCACTTGAAAAAACTCCTGCTGAGCATGCCTCTTGTGCCCGGCCAGGGCACTCGCAAGGTGTGCTCATACTCCACGGGCTTCAAGAAGCTGCCAGCAGCAAGAGTCTTGGATGTGCGCTGATGTATGGTTCCTGCAGGGCTTTGTGTCACGGCCTAGTGTTTTGTCACTCCTGCTGCACCCTCACTTGCAGCCATGAGCCTGCGGCTGCCAGGCCAGTCAATCCGAACAAGGCCAGGAAGGAAAGCATCTTCACAGATCTCAGGGGCTGAATTGGGAAGCTTGCGGTAGTGCGCAGAGTGGGACAAAGAGAAACTATGGACTCCGGACACCCTTCCTGCAAACCTTCAGCAAGCGTGCTGGGCACGCTACAGGGGACAACACTAAGGCACGTATATGGTGTTTACCTTCATAATAGTTCATGATGGGTTCTACAGAAACCTCGCCACTCAGACTGCCGCCTTCTCGATCTCTTCGTTGCACCGGGAGCTTGGGCCGAAAGGCTGAGGACACGAAAAGCGGAAGACTGCACTCCTTGCGAAAGTTGATGGGCTGACGACTTAATTATGTGAGGTTCGAGGATGAAGAATTAGTAGTCATTCGCAGTTTGTTTGGCTGCCCAGCCATGAAAGCACGACATCCGAGGAGGCTGCCCAGTAGCCGAAATGGAACACCGTGAGGAAGGCATCTTCGACTTCCGAAGCATCCAAACCTCTGCAGCACCATCCCGCGTCTCACATTTCTGGAGATCCAACTTCGGCAAAAAATGATCGCGAAACGCCCGGTTCAGGTGAATCACGCAGACCACGGCGGCGCAGGACAAAGGGCAGTGGAGCAATCGGGCCACGGAAAAACAACGAGAGCCAGGCTGAAGGCCAAGGAGTCCACTGCCTCGGATGCGATCAGCCGTGACATGCGTTGACGCACACGAAAGCGTCAGCTGGAGAGCTATTGATGGCTTTATTGGCTTCCACTTGCGTGGCTGACCTGCTCCGAGGCATGAACGGCAGTCTTCAGTCTGCCGCATCCTTCTGAAAGCTGGGTTGACGACGCTCAACCACATGGCAGCATCCTGCCAAGCTGGCCAGACATGACTAAGAGAAAAAGCGCGAGAGAGAGAGAGAGGGAGAGAAAGAAAAAGCGCGGGCTTTCCACTCCACAGAGTGGGGGCCCGAGGGTGGGGAACAAGCAACCAAGAGAAAGAGAGAGAGACAGAGCAACAGGTCCTTGTCTCCGAGAGGTCTGTTTTGCGCCCAACCAAAACAAGAACTAGGCTGCTCGTGCTCTCTTGATCTCTCTTGACTGTACTGAAGAAGAAAGAGATAAAGAGTGCGAGCACATCTTTGTGTTGTCGCCCTCGCGAGAGGGAAACCTTCGCTAAGCTGCCGAACATGCAATTCACATGTGTGTGTGCCTGCACATATGGTTAGTGGTTGCTGCTTTTCTGTATTTTCCTTACACACACACACACACTGACAGAAACAAATATGGATGTATACCTGTATATATATATATATATATGTACATGCCCACGTATCCATATCAGTGTGTGTGTGTGTGAGTGCTCGTGTTGGTCTTGTCTACTGCGGAATTCACATCAATACAACGCCCCTCAATCAAAAAGCTCGAGTCTGTTAACTCAAAGATCACCCCCCTCAATTAAAAGAACCGATCCTGAGCACTGAATCCAGATTCCGTCCCTGGTTCCTAACAGAACACTTGGGGCAATGTTGTCAGCCCTCCCACAGTTGCTGAGAGAGTCAGCGCGTGTAGTAGAACTAGGACCCTCCTCTCAATAATCAAACAACCGGCCGGGGCCTTTAACCAATCAGAGGGGGTGGTTTGTTAACATGAAAAAACACTATTAATGGAAAAGATCCACCGAGCTATAGGCCCGCACAGGCCCTGTCACACTACTTAGTACTTTCTACTTGCTAATTCCTACTTCAAGCTGCTACTTGCTACATACTGCTGAACTGCTTGCGACTTGCAATCTAGTACAATTACTACTTACTACTTGTTACTGACTACTGACTACTTACGACTCACTACTTACTACTTACTACTCACT